ACAAGTATTTTTTGTCATAAGAAAAAAATGAAAGGTTTTTTTTTTATCAATTTCGCATTTTGTCAAATTTTTTTCTTATCTAAAAAATGAAGTGGTTTTTTTTATTAATTTTGCTTTTTATCAAATTTTTTTCTTATAAAAAGTTTCTTATAAAAAAAAATGAAAGGTTCTTATCAATTATTTTTCTTGTCAAATTTCTTTTTTGTCAATAAAATAAAATGTTTTTGTCAAAAAAATAAAAAGTAATAAAAAGTTATTGTCAAAAATAAAATTCTTATAAAAAAAAAATAATACAACAAGTATTTTTTGTCAAAAAAAATTTCTTGCTAAAAAAAAAACAATGTAATACGACAAACATTTCTTATAAAAAAAATAACAGGTTTTTGTCAAAAAAAACTAAAATGTTCTTATAAAAAAACCATTCTCTATTGTAGTCTATGTATGATTATATACTTCATCCATTATAGTTCTATGATTTTTATTTTGTGCGATGTAAATTAATGGTTAAAATAAGTTCATACAGATAAAAAATATCTCAATATTCATATATTGATAAAAAAATGAAAATTAATAATGTAGTACCCCGGTTTCTTATTGGATTCATAAAAAACAACATTTATAATGAATTTTAATAAATTTTTTTAGATTTTTTTTAAAACTTAATCCAACCAATTCGGCCGATTCCCGATCCGGATCGTTGATCTACCGATCCGGATGGGTTTTTTGGGTGCCCGATCCGAGCCACAGATCCGTTTTTTAAACCACTGACTAGAAGTAAAAGAGATTACAACAAAAATTACAGTAACAAATAAGATAAAGATAAGGAGGTCATCGAAACTCCTTTCTTAGCTAAATCATCTGCAATAGAGTTTGTTTCTCTGTAAACATGATGAAAGGCAACAGTTATATCAGCAGATAACTCCATCACCTTATACAATAAGGTTAAAAGCCATCAAGGAGGTATTGACAAACATTTATACCAATTAATGACATTGTGAAAGTCTCTTTCAATGATAAAATTTTGCTCCATACCTCTCTCTTTATAGATCTGCAATCCTTGTAGCAAAGATTCAAATTCTACATGATTAGCTGCAACCACTTCACAAGGTCCAGCATAACAAAAAATTAACCTTCGTGATTACGATATATACCCCCAACTCTTGAAAGCCCTAGATTTCCAAAACAAAAGCTATCAAAATTTAATTTCATGCATCTGATTGTTGGTGGGTTCCAATTACAGTCGTCCCATCTTAAAAGTTCTTTGTATGACCAAAGATGCGGCGAGATGTTTTTGACACCACACTGCCTGTAAACCCATTTTGCCTCTAGTTTTGTCACATTTTGCATAGGGATAAATTAAGTAAATTAAGTATCAACTAATGACAAATTGTACATAAAGAGAGGTGTATGTATGGATCTATGAATGTATGTATGTACTATAAAAAGAGAGTATATACATATACAGTCCGGGCCAATCTATGAACTGCCAAGTATTCGAGCTCCTTGGTATGTCTATTATAAATCAAGTTCCATCTAAGGTATTTTTTTCGACTAAAGAAGTGTAGGGCCGCCCATTGATCTAAACATTAGCCTACCTTCAAAATGTTTATGACATCGAATCAATCTATGAATATCATAAGAATAAAAAATAAATTTAATATGGAGTCCGACGTTTAAAACATTGAACTGGGAGCAAATTTAGAAAAAATAAAAAATTGAAGGACGAAGACCTCATAAAAAAATTGCATATTTTTGGACCATCATCTAATAACAGTAAAATAAAATAGTGCTGATATAATTTTTCATTTTGTTTGTATGAAAAAATACTAGACGCTATTTAACAACCATATATTCCATTTAAAAGCATATGTGCAGGGGCATAAGTGCGCTTCAGGTAAACTTCGCAACTAGGGCAATTGAGTGCCCAACCTAGCCCAAAGCTAAAAAAGTGAGACCTAGGTTACAAAATGTGGCTCTAGGGCCTGGGGCAGGAGCAGGGCCATGACAAGGCCGGCCTAGTCCAACTATTTTTTCCCTTATTTTCATTTCTTTTTTTCTTTGGCTCTAGTAGGCTTGTCTGGCTTAGTGTATCTAGTATAAGGCTAGGGCCTCTTCAGCCAGGGTCTGAGAAGGGCTAGGCTCAGGCAAGCCTTCTAGGGACCAGCGCAGGCATTGGTCAAGGTTGGCCCGGTCGATTCCCAGCCCATTACCGGACCTATTTGCAGCTAGTTGGAGCGCACTACACTTCTCGAAATGAATGAGCGCAGGCTTGATGCCAGGTGACAGTCCAATAAGTCCCAGCGTAATAGGAGAAGAATGGTTGAATTAGGTTTATCAAGAAGCGGCTAATTCATTTTTGAATCCAAAGTTCGGAAATTAACCATTTTGTTTTTTTTTTTCTCCGAAAGGCGATATTCATTAAGACAATGAAGGTTATATGGAAAAGAAAAAAAAAAAAAAAAAAGCAGAAAAATTATCAGAAACATATCTTAATTTTTGTCTAATTAGAAAACAGAACCCTCAATTTTTATAAACCTCGTCCATATCTTTTTTTTCTCAATTTTGATATTTTTATTTTATCAAAATAGCCTTCACGGTAGTCGTATTACTGTAAAGGCTCTATCATTAGTTACTTTAAGTAATGTAATGCAGTAGTTATTACGATGGATAAATTCGATTTGGGTTTAAAAATTTCATAAAAATATTAAAAAATGTTATAAATATTGTTTTTTGAGTTCTCAAGAAAATAGAGGTATTTCATTATGAATTTTTAATATTTGGAAAAAATATGTGAATGTTGAGATACTTTTTTTACTGCGTTTATTGATGTTAATATGGATACTAGTTTTGATAAAATACTTTTACACTAATTTTGATGCTCGTTTTGTGATTTTTAGTGCACAAACAAGAGATAAGGATTTGTCTGATTTTTTTTTAAAGAAATTTTATACGGGTGCGGTTTGTATAGAGTCGACGCGCTAAACAATCAAAGCAAAGCCCACCTTCAAATAGTGACGAGAACTATAGTTTCAATATTGGAAATCATTGTGATAGCTTTAAAAATATATTTTTATTTTTAATTATAAAATTTAAAAGCTTAAAAAATAGTGTAAATCGAGCGTATCTCTGAAAACTTGAAAATTGATAAAAAAATACGTTACAAGATACACTATTTTCAAAAATTGAAATCTATTTATTTTTCATATCCATGCATCTTGATGAACAGAATGGAGAACCTGGATTCATGTAGCTGACCCCAATTAATTGTTAAAAGGCTAAATTGATGATGATGATCCATGCATCTTGACGTCTAGATGATCAATTTGAGGATATTTGGGCATCAAAACAACCTCTTCTAGTGAAATTTTTGAGGTAGGCTCCAATTTGATTGTTTAGAGCATCGGCTCTATATACACTTTATCCATTTTATTATCAAAATCCTCTTCTTTTATCGAAATACATACATAACTTTAAAATGGATCTCAAGTTATCAAATAGAAAACCTCCCTAAGTATGTTATTTGCCAATTGAAGTGAATTGATCTTTTTGCTCCATCAACACATACCATCTACAAAATAAAAAATCGATTTATTGGTCCATGAAAAATTTAATATCATTTTAACTCATTGGGTTCCAATTGTTATAGCTCCCACAATCAATGACAAACAATCGATAAAAGAAAAAAATGCAGATTATAAAAGAGAGTACATATCAAAAGCGGGCATGTCCTTGTCCTATCATTGTTTTAGTTCTTTTGACTGAGCATGAAGAATACATTTTGAGAGCACTATGAACCACTAGGCCTAGGTATATTTGCGTGGTTTCTTGGTTAGGAGGTTCTTTCTCAAGAAGTTGGAGCTCTGAATTTGGTTGGGTGTTTGTCTTGTTTAAATGCATGGGATGGATGGAGATTTCAACCCTTCTAGGTCTACCTCATAATCTCCAAGTCTGACAAGCTTGGGAACTCGAGTTTTATGGGTAGTTTTTTTTGGTTTGGAGTGTTGTAAACAACACATTGGATATCTGAACTGTATAGTTAATAAAAAAACAGGTTCAAGCATCTAATATTTGTACTGGTTTTTCACTTGCGAAAAACACTTTAGTTAGGATATTAGATGTCTGAACCATCATTTTTTTTTATAAAAAAAGTAGATGGATATGCTTAGAAAAAGGCCCTCCAAAGTTCGATGTTCTTGATGTGATGTGAGAATTAGACAAACGCAAAAAAAAGGCTAAAATACAAAATATGAGAGACTAATTGCATTCCATAAATTAAACGGTTTTTTATAAATATTTTCAGAATTAAAAACTAATTCAACTAGTGAAAAGATTTTCTGCTACTGAGGAAGTATATTATCCATTTATTCTCTTAGGAAAAACTCGCTCTAGAAATTTATTTTTTATCTCATAATTTGGGATGTGCTCTCTAGAATCCGGCAAAGGACCTCAAAGTAAAACCAAATTATTTAATCTCACTCACTATGTGCCTAAAAAAAAATTTATCGTCCCAACATTGCAATAAAACCATCCAATTTTGGGAGGGAACGATCTAGATATTTGTAAACTCAAAATCTAGTTTTTTTCTTTGAAAATAATCATTTATTTGAAATTAAATGATAACAAAAAAAAAAAGAAACTCCCATATTAGTGTTTTGCAAACGTATAGCGTACTCGTGAGGAAGCATAAAATACACGATTCAAATATGGGCCCATTCTCATAGTAAGGCACATCACTGAGCTAAAGGGACTCCCTCAAATGGAAAATTGTTTCATGCGGTGGTGGGGACCGTATTTCTACATTTGCATAGAATCCATTTTAAAAATAAACACAATAGATAGTCCATCTAAAAATAATTAAAAATTACGATCTAAATATTTTATTAATATAATTATTATTTTTAATTTTTAAAATTTATTTGGTTTTTCATATTCATGATCTCCTAAAACTTATATATATATATGTATATTTTTTCTTCAAACTTACCGTAAAATAACCTTACGTCTGTTACCGTGAACGCCTGGCATCACGAGACTACCACAGCTTATTTGAACGGTGAAGGCGTCGATCGTGCTAAAACCCAATGCTCACAGACACTAACTGAAGATTTTCAGTACCTGAATCAGGCCTTTTTAATTTGCAAGAAAGATATTTGTTTGCTGGTTTTTCGCATTTAGAGAGAAAGAGAACGAGAGAAGTGAGGGGCATATGAGAATAGCTTAGAGAGAGAGATTGGGGCATAAGAGAATCGTTTGGAGAGAGAGATTGGGGCATAAGAGAATCGTTTAGAGAGAGAGAGAGATTGAGGCATAAGAGAATCGTTTAGAGAGAGAGAGAGATTGAGGCTGAGAATGATAAGATAAAGGCATCGAGATTGGGGCTGAGAATGAGGAGAGAATGAAAGTTCGGGGGACATGAGCCAGATGGTTTTTTTTTTAGAGAGAGAGAGGAGTGCGATGGGTATCTTTCATCTGCAGTTTTGGAGAATGGAGAATGTTAAGCTGAGATTTGATCATTTGAAAGGGAATGGAAGAAGGGGGTAGAGAGAGGGTTATTGATGTGAAGAGAGAGAGACAGTCATGGGTGGGTTGAGGAAGAGAGCTTTGAAAGAGATGTACATGACAAATAAGGCAAATTTATTAGAGGAAAAAAAAATCACCGGCATTTGGAGGAGAGAAGGCCCTCTCTCCTTTTTGGTTCTCTCTCATGCGTTCGTCTCATCAGAATCCGATGAAAATGGGGCAATTTTGGAGTCATATTTGAGGTTTTCAGCAATTTTCCGGTGAGTTTTCCAGCCAAAACTTATTATAACAGGTCCACTGGTACGCCTGTGGCCTTTTGCCGTTCAAATTTTTGGGGAATTGAACATGAGTTTCTAGTTTTACGGGGATTGCCTGGTGGTTGATGGTAATGTTTCCAGCAAGTTTCGGTGCTTTTTCTGGCAGACTAAGCCGGATTTTCTTGTCCTCAGGCGAAGAGTGCCAGTGTTTCTTTAGGGCAAATTAAGCTTGGATTGGAAAATAAACGGGAATTCATGCAAGTTAATAAATGGAATGAAAAATAAGCAGGAATTTCTGGTAAAATTGCATTGAGATTTGAAGTGTAAAATTAGTAAGAATTTTCAGGCAATTTGATGTATTTTTTCGGCCATTTCCGTAAAACATGTTAACCTTCAAATAAGGTGTGCGAAGTATGATTACTGTGAGGAAAAAGATTGTATAAGGTTGCAACCCTAGAATTAAAAATACACCTAAAAAATCTATCGGAAAATTGTGTTTTAATGTTAAAAAACCCTCTAATTGATAATCTTGACGCTGAGATTTATGAATATGAAAAAAAACAAAAAATTTGAGTCCCATAAATAGTGCATCTTAAAACACATTATCTAAACCGTTTATTTTTGAGATTTTCATATCTTTATGGATTTACTTGATTCCAATCGTTTGTAGAGTTTAGAATTTTATAATTAGAGATAAAAATAGATTTTTAGATAATCCTCATAATTTTTTACATCAAAATTATATTCTATGATAAAATTTGGATGTGCTCTTTAATTGGATTGTTTCAGGTTACAAATTGCAATCTTATAGGAACCACACCCTTATTGTAAAAAGGCTATTTTGATTTAAAAAATTTCAGAAGAAAAAAAAGAAAAAAAAGAAAAAAGAAAAAAGAAAAAAAGTGTAGACAGGATTTATAAAAGTTGATTTTTTTTAATTAGATAAAAATTAAAATATATTTTTGAAATTGCATATCCTTAAAAATTAGGTACAAAAAAATCAATCTCAAGAGAAGATTTTTAAGAGGTGACTCATTTTTACATGGACTCAGAGAAACCGTGTCCCCCCTCCATTTGACACCTCGCTCCGCTCTGTCTCTCTCTAAATTCCGTTTGGCGCCTGAGAACATAAAAATCGTACTACCATGGCTGCCGTTTTGGACCCCCATTTCCTGGCTATCACCGCTATCGTCACCAAAATATCTCTCTCTCTCTAAACTCAGTTGTCCTTTTTTGAAAGGCCTCATTTGCTTGAAATGTGGTTATTGTTTATTACAGGTTGGGTACCAACTCCTCTTCTTCCTTGTTACTGCCATTTTTAGGGTCGACAAGCTCACCGATTTTGCAGGTACAATTTTTTGTTTAGCATGGACATTGTACCTCACGATATCCCTTTTGTTTTTCTTTTGCCAATGCCTCTATATGTCTGTCTTTCTTGTTTACTTATATCATTTTTTTTGTTGCTGCTATTACTGTTACTTATGTTTAGGGTTTGATTATTATGATAAAGGAATTTTTCGCTTGTAAAGAATATCATTTTTAATTATATTTGGTTTCTGTTTTTGTTCAAATTTAAAGCCATGTAGTGGAATAACCCTTATTCAGGAAAAATGGATAAGAAGTTGCAGGGTGTTCAGATCTGATACCGAAATATGCAAAATAGAGACAATTCCGGCATTCCCTTTGTTCTATGAAGTTATGAACACATTAGAGATTATAATTTACCCATCACTGGATGAGAGTGAGAACCAATTTATTATTCTTTCAAAGGTTTCAGACAGTGTGCCTTGACTCACTTGAGTCCAAGCGGGCTAGTAACTCTGCCTCGCCCTGTGGCTTTGTGTTGGCAGTGGTGAGTCTGGGCACACTGGTTTCAGATGTATTGGATTGTACACTAAATATCTTATTGGATTTAATTGCCAGAGCAGCATTTTGTCTCGTAGCAAAAATCTATGGTAATAGATGGCAGGCAGTGGAAATCATACTATTGATTTTGAGGCTCTTGTTTTTGAAGACACGGATCAAACAATTAATTATGGCGCTCTTCAATTTGAAGGCACTAAGGCACTTCGTGTGCATCATGATAGGAAAAGGATTAAAAAGAAGACAAACTTTCTAATGTATCAAAATTGTACGAGAGATTACAAGCCAAGCTCCATAGCCACAACTTTGCATAAACCCAAAAAACCTCAGGATAGAACTCAAAAGCTATTCTCACTCTTACATCATAAGCTACTTATAGTGTTAACCCAAACCAAAAGATAATCTAGGCCATTGATTACAAACTTTACATCACGATCGTAGATAGGAAAGCAAAAAGTGAGAAAGACAATCTAGTCCTAAATGCACAAAGATGAAACTGCCCCTTGTTTTGTGGTTCACATTTTGGAGGTCACTTTTGGAGATCTAGAGGTTTGGTTTTTGTAACTGGTAGAGTGGGTTGGGACATTGTATGTGTTTGAGGGAGCTTTCAATAGAGCATCACTATACCCAATTGTCAGCTACAAGGACAATATTAGACCATTTTGTAGGTTTGCTACTTACAATCACCTACATCACTGTTATCACTTCATCATGTGTTTCTCTCACATGTGTGGCTTCCGCATTCCCACTTGTGTGCAAAACCGATGTTGATTGGGATTTTCGAATTATATATTTGGTGAATTAATTGTATTTGAGAATTTAGTTGGGAAAATTGAGCCAGCCATAGGGCATGCCTAAGTTAACCCAACACCATCAAATGTCTTGGAATGTGTGTATATGTCAATGTATCCTGGCCTTGAGTACATGAATTTTCGGGTGCTTATGAATGCTTCTAATTTGTTTAGATAATGTTTTTCTATAAAAATTGAAGATGAATATGTTGTTTGACTCATAGCTGTTGTAAGCGATTCTGAATTCGAATTGTTTTAGGAATTGTAATCACATAATTGCAGTCAGCTGGATATTCCTATCTTCGGAATCGATGTCTGTACAAGATGAATCGTGAGAAACAAGATTCCAATTTTATAGGAATTGAGATTCAACCAAAATGCAATGAGATCCCGACATATATGGAATCGAGATTTCTAGCTCTATGGAATCGAGTTTCCGACCTATTTGGAATCAACCAATATGGAATCGAGATTCCTTCATTTATGGATTCTAGATTCCGACATCTTTGAAATCAAGAGGGAATTGAGAGGGAAACAATACATATCTCAATGCCATTCATTGACCGATATGCTATACATGCATGTTTATATTATTTGTACTACATTATTTCTAACATCTTGGCAGTGTTTCAAAAAATGCTAGGCGACGCCTAGGCAGGCGCCCAAGAGTAGAAAGAAAAATATCTCAATAGTCTAACAGTATAAATATAACTCTATAACGCATAAGAGTTAGAGATTTAGGACACATCAAATGTATAGTACACAAGTCTACATCGCACACACTCCTTCATAATCCATAAGTTCCTAGTCTGATAGTCCACTAAATCTAATACTAATGGGTGATGCTTATCGATTTCTTGTAACTTTGAGAAACCCTTCGATCCTATAGAAATCACCAAAAACTAGTTTTTTGGGATTTTCTCTCTCTAAAATAGGCTTTAATCGGGTTTAAGTTTCAAATGAACCTAAAATGCATGATTTTGCCCCTTTGGTGTTAGAAAAAGACCAAAAAATGCCCCCCTGGGTGGCCTCCCATGGCTGGGCATTGGGTGCCCGCCCAGGGACAGCGCGCATAGGCCTCGGTGAGGCACCCAAGCCTTCTGGACTGCCTAGGAGGCTGCTTAGGCACTGGGCGATCCGCTTTTTAAAACAGTGCATCTTGGAGTTGCAATCCCTCCATTGGATCAATACAAAGCATACTTAAAGAATTAAGTGGAGAACCTTGATTTCCATTGGTCATGTCATGCCAAAAAAGATGACTACACCTTATAGCTTGAGATTGAGTGTCTAGCTTGAGTAGTTTGATGCCTTGAAAACTTCTAAACATCACTTCTCAGAAAAAAAACAAAAAGAAAATAAAAAGAGGGGGAAGGGGCAAAATTCCAGTAAATGTGGAAATCAGTTTCAACTAGTGTAAAATTGAGGTTCACCGATTCGAGATTCTTTAAGTATTTGAATTGAGATTCCTAAAACAAGGAATCGAGATTCTAGACTTCACAGAAGCAGTTTCCATGAAGATTCCTAGTCGGAATCGACGAATTGGGGTTCCGAATCAGAATCACGACCTTCGGTAAGAGATTCCGATAACGAATAATGTGACTCAACATATATGCAAACTAGAATGGATAGTGACTCAATGCTTTAAACTCTTTTTGGTAGAGTAACCATAAATGATACTGACTTGTTACTTTATGGGTTGCTATCGAATATGCATTACGTGCTATGATGTCCAAATAAATTGAGATGGGTGTAAATCCATGTATGACACTCCGTTCCATATGTAGAATTATAAAAAATATACTATGTAGCTACCTTGCCATATCATGGAATCATAAGCTTGTGGACAATATAAATTTTCAGCAATCTACTTGAATCTTAGTTATTGTCTAAACTGCATGAATCTGAAGGGAGGAAGTACATTTTTCTTATAATCTTTTGGGAAAATGACTTGGTCCCCCTTGTCCCTAATTTATGTCTGGATAGAACCTTTGGTCATTGTAAACTCCATAGAGCCCCTCTTCCTTTTAAAAATAGGATCAATACCCATCTCCCGACCTTTTCTAGATGACACTTACCTAATTGTCCCTTTTCTTATTAAAAATTCCAAAATCGTCCACACTAAAAGAGCCTAAATTTTCTCTCCCATCTTTCCCTCCAGCATGGGGAAAATTTGCCAAAAAAGGCAGGGAGCCATTTGATTCCAGTCATGGAGGTTCTTGTAAATTGTTCGAATCTGTTGGTCAAGTCGCCAGAGTATGTAGGAGCCATATAAAACTATTTTTCCTGAAAAATAGGAGAGAAAAACACATTTAGGTCACCAGAATAGAGAGAGAAACTATTGCACTTTATTCCCCATTATTTCTCTCTATGCAGGGGACCCATAGGGAAATCACAAAGCACTTTGAGAGTTTTCTCTCTCTATGATATTGGTGTTTAGAATACCAATATCTCATTAGGATAGATGCATTCTCTCTCTCCTAAACAACGTGGGAGCCAACATGTAAGTAGTGCTCCTAAGTTTCTAAAGATGGCCATTCGGATATTGAATTTAGCATGTAGCTCATCTAATTGTGGGTACATTTGGAGTTCATTTGAAATGGTAAGACGGCAATTTACATTTTACAATGATTATAACATTTTATATTAGTATTAGTGTATAAGTTATGATTACGATTATAAATTTATAACGTGTAAGTTATAAATTGTGACTTCAAAGTTCATTTAGCTCATGATTTATTATAAGTTTACTGTATTGCATAACTCGACCAATATACTATTATAGATTTAGAGTATCACTGTAGTTATCTAAATTCTAACTCATGCATTTTTCCCATGGTGCATACAAATGAAAAGAATAGACTTGATCAGAAGGAAGAAAGAAAATGCTTTAGTCGTCATCTAATTCAATCGGAGGCAAAATCAGCATTTTAATGATCATGACAAAGGGGACACCATTGCAGTGAAAGACAAATGATGCCAATGAGTGGTGGGTTGATCTTCAAACGGAGGTCTTCCGTAGTGAGGGTTTGACTTGGGATATGGTTGGGGAGGCTTCGGGGCAAGCTTCTAATCCTGAGGGGGACCAGCAGATCGATTACTACTTCTTAATTCATAGAAGATGATGGAGATATAGGAGGAGATCAATTCATAATATGCATTTTATATTTCTCTGTATTGGTGGATTTGAATGCGTGTGAGCTTGTGACCTTGTGCTTAGTTTCTTATTTATTTTAGTAATTGAGTACTTTAAGTTCATGACTTTATGGTATTGGACATGGAGCCATGGTATAACATATTCTGCAATTTGGTATTGGCATTTGGATTTTCGATATGCTCCTTTATGGTTGTTAGTTTAATGTCACATTTATTAATCTACAATTGTGAAATATGTTCCTTGTAAATTATGATTTCAATGGGTTTCAGATACATAGCTATACGTATGTATCCCTTTGGAGCACACATATACATATCTCTGTGTGTGTGAGGCACCTTGAGACAGAGGCGCCCACCTAGGTGCCTGCGTTACGTCTAGGCTGTTGGGCTTGTGTGTCCTTTCAAGGCCTTGACATTGTGTAACTCATACCCTCGTACTATTTTGTTGGCACCAATGGAAGCTTGGTTCCTGAAAGGGGACGGTTGGTTGTCTCGCCTACCCATTGTGACCTATCGGGCCTAGGTAGTATAGGGCCTGGGAGGGGTGTCTCTGAGTCATGGAAACTGTTGAACATAGGGTTTGGGTAGCAGCCTGGATATTGTGAGGGATTAAAGGATATTCGTCAGTTGAGGGTTGGTATTGCCTGTGGTCGGAGTCGGGACAGAGTGTTCCGGCATGGAAGAGGTGGCTTGTGAGGGCAAGGGCCAAATCCTTGGCATAGCCTCATCCATGACATGTGCATATGACAGTTGTATCATATGGGAAGCCGCCTTCCCGGAAGAGTGCCTTGTGAAGGACATGCCACGTGCATAGAGAGGAGCCCCGCATCCTTGTGAGGTGCTGAGTGTACTTGTCCTTGGGGGTGCATCTATAATCTATTGAATCCCAGAATTCCACTGCCAATTGGTTGGTTTTGATGGGCTAATGATGAGCCCGAGCTAGAGACTATGGATCATGTGTCCCTTTGGTTCGATTTGAAAAAATGGTTTCGGGATAAGCTGAGTGGAGTGTCCTAGATCAGTGATTTCAATTTTGTCTCATATATATTCTCTCATTGATTACCCTAGTATCGCTGAATTGAGGGATTTTATTTGCCTATTTATTTGGGTGTCCTATGTGAAATCAGATACTTGTGACTCTTTTTGTGGTAATATGGGGCCTACGTCTTGCGCATTTCCTATTGTTGAGGTACCTAACCTGCTTATTTTTTAGGGGAATTGACCATGATTTCCTGTCTCTTTATAACCCTTGTTATCGATTGCTAATAGTAAGTGCAAACAATGTATATTCATATTATCCAGGAAGCTTTTATTTCGTTCATTATGTACTTTTGTTGATTTTGATAGTTGTTTGCATGGGGTGGACATAAGCTTGAATTGTGCCTATTACATCGTCTTTATATGTAACAAAGAAGTACGACTTTTTTTCTTTTTTTTTATGTTTGACAAAGTTATCAAACCAAGTATTTGCTGAAGAGGAAAGTCTGAATGAGATTGCACCAAAAAGAATTGTATTAATCTCTCATTTTTCTTTGACAATTTATCGAGCCATCATATCTGACATTTGTTACCAAATTGCCATTTAGAGTCTATATATCACACTCTGTTTTCTTTATCCAGATGAATGCTTCATGATACATCCTTCTGGATGATTAGATGGGTCTTTGAGTTTAATTATGTTCTTCCCATATAGTTGAGATCTCATGCTTGAGAAACTTCCACTTGATATAAAAAAATATTTAAACCAAAGAATGTAACAAGTCATAGTTGGCATGCTGATGTACCGACTTCTGAGTTCTGACCTTCTTTGAGAAATGTCTTATACTTTTTTATTCTCTAGTTTAAAATATCCCCACAAAAGTTGCAATATCTGATTATGGATATTTCGGGATCTTATAAAGAAACCCGATATTAGTTAGCCTTACCAGGTGGTGGTTGTGAAAAAGACCAGTCTCGTAGCGAGGACTTTGAAGAGTTAATGATAATCAAAATAGTTGTTATTATTCTAATATGGATTATCATTCTATAGGAGTACTTACTCTAGATTATGTCTGACAGAAAGAGAAGAGGCGCAAGAATAATTACCTAAAATTATGATGAGCTTAAAGAGCTATGACTAATGAGCTTAAAGATATGACAGAGAATTTATAAATAAGAAGAGCATAGTGATACTAGTATCGTAATGGAGTAGAAATGAATGATACTTGATTACTTGATGAATTTCATTGAGAATATGAATATTTTAATTCATCGGGAATGTGAATGTTTTACTTTAGGAACAATTTCTTGCATCTTCAGCACTCCCCTATGATTTTAGCAAACGGAGGTCGGCATTCCTATCTTGCATATGAATGGTTGAGGTTTTTTCAAAATCCATGACTTCCATCAGAAATATGCTAACATGATCAGACTTGTTGCACTAAGTTTTGATATTTGCTTCTCTACACATTCCCTAAATAAGCCACTATCTATTATTAGTTGCCTTCCGGGTTGATTAAAAATATACATACAGAGGAAATTTGAACCACACTTTGATTATCACATAACATGTTCATGGGTTATTTAATAACAAATCCTAAAATGTTTATGTTCCTTCTGAAGGTTGTGAGCTTGAGAAGCATGGTGCTCTCTGTAGAAAATTTTGGCTGGAAAGATTTTAAGTCGGAAGGTTCTCAGCAATGTGCCTACATCCTCTTGGTTCCTTGATAAGTTGGGGTTTAGGACAAAGACCACTAGTTTGGCCTCCCTATGGTGGCTGTGGTTTGAAATCTTGCTCTGATACAATGTCAAGAGAATGCTAAAACTGAAAACAGTGACATCCATAACCTATTGTCAATATATTGAATGTATAATTAATAATACAATGTAAAAACCTTTTACAATAATACGCCATGCACTTTATAAAGAATGACCGTAATGCTTCAACTATGCATTGTTCATTGTAACAGTCCTCAGCAAAGAACCTAATCTTTGCTAAACAGAAAATAAGCCCAATGAGGATGAGCTTAACCACAACTTCATGGGTGTAAGCAATGTGTTGCCTTCATAGGTATAAACAAAAATCTGCCTAATATTTTAGTAGTTAAGCATACAAGCAGTCTGTAATTAGTCTCCAAAATCTTTTTTAAAGGAGATGAGCAGAATCCGTAACTTTCTGGCTAAATTTTGCAACATGCTACATGTCTGATACTTTTTAATAATTGTGGATCTCGAATCTAATTGAAGAAAAACACAATAGGAAAGCAAATCTGGTTCCAAATTATGATCTGTGTAAACTGTTGTTTCAAATCCCTCGATCACAAATCTGCGAGTACAGAATACTCAGGTTCTGATGCCATGGCAAAATCTTAGGATAGGCAATGAAGAAAATGGCATTTCCTTGTGAACTCTAATTCGGGGGAAAGGAAAATGATGATGCACAATGCTTGTATTATAATTCAATATGACTGAATACTATGCTAGACAATATACTTACAGAATACTCGACTGAACTTCGGAAGTATAGAAGGGCATAGAACTTGTAATATTTACATGACCTTACTATGAGTATCATGCATAAATACTATGCAATAAGGAAGGCATAAATACTATTCAATAAGGAAGGAGAAAAGAAAGTAAGCTGCTGATATACAAGTATATACATCTCCTCGGCATATTTTTTGCAAATTTTTCATGTGTTACTCTGGGATATTTCTTAGCATTTATAAAATTGGTAATGTTTTAAAAATGTCCTAAGGAAAATCAGCATTTCAAAAGTCACTAAGAAATGATCTCCTAGAGAATTACTTGAAGAGATCATCACTATTCAACACACTCGTGAAAGTACGAGATGCCACCTTGGTGTAATGGCAGTTAAAGATCAGCGACTTTAAATGATGGTTATTTTTACAAAATACTATCTTTTCTTCTCATTACTAATGGCAATTTATTTATGCTCATTTAATAAAAAAAGTTTTTTTGTAACTCCATCTCTGAGAATCCTTAAGCTTGTTTATAGGAAGCATAAACCAGGTTGTTAGAACCAAACTGGACTGCCCAGTTCGAATCGGGAAGTGGTCCACAATTCGGTCCAAGGATTTTGAACCGATTGGAACTGCAAACCAGTCATGGACTGGTGGATCAGCTAGGCCAATGTATGGCCGGTTCACTCCGGTCCAACATTCCATGACTGAACCGGCCAATCCACTAAAAGGTTACTTTTGACGTTTTTCTCTTTTTTTTTTGGTGACAAGGTTACGTAGGAGTGGAACTTGAGACGTAGTGTTATGAAAACCCAGCTGCTACTGCCTTGACCTAAGCCCGATTCCTCCTTTTTTTTTTTTAAATGCCTTTTTAAACCCATCATAGGGGGGAGGGTTTCATCCTTAGAAAATTACAAGGGGGTAATTTTGGAATTCTTAAATTCTAGGGTTTTAAGTCATATAAAAAGAAACTTTAGATAGTAGGGGCTTTCACACTTTTCTCTCTCTAACTATAATTTTGGGGCATTGCAATAAGATTTCCAATGAAATATCCAGCCATATGCTGAATAAAATCTAGCCAAAAGTCGAGTACTTACCCTCAAAGTTCTTCTTTTTTTGGATTTAGAAAAATGCAAAAAAAAAAAAAGAAGAAAGATTAAGGGCTTTCTCTGATATTTTTCTGTTAGGTTCTTTGTGCATTTTTTTCTTTTAATTTTAAGGTTATTAATTTTGGTTCTTTTGACTTTGAAAAGCCATAACCGAAAACTGCAATTAGGTATTAATTTCAGTTCTTTTGTTAAATAGGTGTTTCCATTTTTTTTTTTTTTTTCTTTTTGCATTTTTGTGTGTTTGTTGTTTAAAATAAGGGAAAACCCCTTTGAAAAAAACGAAACAGAAAGCACAAAGAAAAAAAAAATTGTTTGCATATTTCTTTTCTATTTTATGGATTCTTAATTCAACTTTTAAGGGCTATGACAAAATACGAACTGTAAATTTGTAAAAGAACTTAAAAATATGATCCAAAAATGCAAAAAAGAAATGGAAAGTTGGGTTTTTTTTTTTGTGTTTTCAAATATATATATATATATATATATATATATATATATATATGAGAAAAGCTAGCATAAGCCCACTAGCTAATGGAACAGTGTGAGCCTAAAAGCCCAGATCCAATCTGGGCTGATCCAATGATCACGGCTGCTTTTTATTTTT